GCTACCACCGGCACACTCCACACCAGCACCCCCAGAGGAACCACCCCCAGGGCTACCGGTACTAGCACCCCCAGAGTCAGCGAACGTGTGCTGCGACGGCGGCGGCGGCGGCGGCAGCGACACCGATGGCTGCAGCGGCGGCAGAGGCGGTGGAGGAGGGGACTGGGGAGGGGACGCCGGTGGAGGGGCAGCCGGCGAGGACTGCGCAGCAGGGCCACTAGAATCAGAAGACTCCTCAACCGGGTCCACCGACGGAAGGGGGGTGACGTGGGACACACCAGAGGGGGCAGGACGGGGAGGAGGAGGGGGAGGGGCAGGGACTACCGGGGAAGGAGTGACCAGGAACAGGGGGGGGTTAACCGGGGGACCGCGGTGGGGGAAGCGACGGTAGTAAGAAACGGACTCGTCAAAGGTGACGTCGCGAGAGTGAAAGAAGCGGTGAGATGGCGGGTGGTAAAAGTGCCAGTCGGACGCGTGAAGGGGAAAACCGAGGAAGACGCAGGGAAGGGTGCGGGCAGTAAGCTTGTCCGTGCTGGAGGCACGGACGTGAGCAAGGCAGCCCCAGACGTGAAACGCAGACGCGTCACCAGGAGACCCAGTCCAAAGACGGGTCGGCGAAACCTGCGGCTCCTGGGGGTGCGGCCACAAGTTAAGCTGGTGAGAAGCGTAGCGCACAGCGAACGGCCACAGACAATGGGGTGCACCGGCATGGATCATGGAGGTGCGAGCCACCTCCATGACCAAACCGATGCGTCGCTCAGCGACCCCATTCTGCTGTGGGGAGTCCGGTAGGGTGAACGTCTGGGTGATGCCCTCCGCACGACAAAAGCGACCAAGGACACCTGAGGCAAACTCGCCACCACGGTCGGAGTGAAGACGCAAGACAGGGAGACCGCGGTGGACACGCGCAGAGACAAGCCAGGGGATGAGGGCGCCAGGCACGTCGGCCTTGCGCTCCAGGGGAAAGACTGTGGTGTATCGAGTAAAGTCGTCGACAAGCACAAAGAAGTAGCGCTCGCGACGTGGCCCAGGGACGGGGGCGGGGCCCCAGACGTCCAGGTGCAGGGTCTGCCGGGGCACAGCGGTAGGGGGAAAAGAGGAGGAGTGAGGGGCACGGCGAAGCCTACCCTCGACACAAGGCGTGCAAGGTGGGGCTGGGGAGGAGGGAAACGCGGGGAGAGAACCTGGGAGACCAAGGACAAGACTGTGCTGGGACATGTGACGCAGACGCGGGAGCGCAGGGTGACCTAGGCGGTGGTGCCAAAGGAGAGTCGGGTGAGTGAGGGACCGACAGGAGCAGGCAGCAGCAACCTGGGTAGACGCAGCCACCTGAGGGAGCGCTCCAGCCGGGGGGGTCACGGTGTCCAGAGTGAACAGGCCGGACACCGGGTCCCGGGGGAACGTGGACAGGGGGGCACCAGTGGCGGCCTCGGTACAGACAGCATACCGCTCGTGACCAGGGAACGTAGTGGTGACGCCAAGGTCCTGGAGGCAGCCGACACCAACTAGGTTCCTGGAGAACGAGGGGATATGCAGACCTGTGAGAGTGCCCGAAGGAACCGCCGGACAGGGAAGGGTGGTGGAACTGCGGGCGACTACCGGACCGCCGGAGGGGTCAGCAAGAGAAACGGCAGCAGGAACAGGAAGCGGCGTCAGGGTGGTGGAGTCGCGGAAGAAACACCGGGAAGCGCCAGAGTCCAAGGTGAAGGAAAGCGAAGCAGAGTTGTCTGGCGACGGAACGACGGCGGAAGCACCAAGACTACACAAAGCAGGGGATCCTATGCCTGACGCAGCAGGGGAGGCTAGGCTAGGCACACCTACACTAGCCGACAATGAGTAATAAGCGGGAAGCACACTAGAGTTATCAGCATACATCACATGCAAAGCAGAAACAATGGCATCCATGTCCATGTCAAAAATCTGAATTTTACGACTAAGCAAACTGTGCCAGTCCGGGAGGTCTGGCGACGGGCCGAAGCGCTGACGAAACAGGTCGTCCAGGCGACGAAAACAGCGGGGAGTGGAGTGACCGATCTTACCGCAAACGAAGCCGCGGCGAGGACCGGTCTGGATCTGGTTTTGACAACGCACGCCTCCAGAACCACCACTCGGCACACCACCACGCGCCCGACCGCCGCCAGCGCCGGGCCACCCGGGCGGGAGTACACTCGTCTGCCTCATCTGCGGCGGCTGCTGCGGCTGCTGCGAAGGCTGCGGCTGCTGCGACTGCGGCGGCTGCTGCGGCTGCTGCTGCTGCTGCGACTGCAGGGGCGGCAGCTCAGCTGGACTGGGCAGGGTCCCCTCGTCCGCTCCAGCACCAGACGACCCGACTCCACCACCACCCCCTCCCGCACCTCCGCCTCCTCCGCCGCGCCCAACCTTGGGGCGGCGGCCCTTCCCCGAACGAAACTGCGCTGCAGCAGCAGTCTCAGCCACAGCGGCAGAGCCGTCGGAGAAGGTACACTGAGCGGGGGCACAACCCTGAAAGATAGGGACCAGCACGGTACCGCTCGCCTGGGCGATGGAGCGGTGGCGGGTCTCAATCACAGTCAGGGTGTCTACAAAGTCAGTGAGGGTGAGGTCTGCGGGGTGAATGCTAAGGAAGCGGTCGCGGGCGACAGCAAGGCGGTCAGGGAGGCGGGTGGCAAGCAGGTAAAGGGTAGAGGTAATGAGCGGCTGGTGGGCTCTAAGCTGTGCGTCAGTGCAGGCAGCGCGCCAGGTCTCATCTATCGAGCGCAGGTGGGCAGCGAGGTCAGAGACAGTGGGGAAAGACGCAAGGTCAGGAAAGAGCATTGGGAGGATCAAGCGACCCACCGAGGCAGTCGGAGGGGTGGAATAGCGCTTGATGACAGCATCTAAGTAAGCCTGAGCAGTAGGGAGGGACCTAAAGCAAGGGCGCTCGGACGGGGGAAGGGCGTTGGTAATGGCAAGCTCAGCGATAGCATCGCGAGAAAGCCAGACAGAGCGTGCACGGGCAGTGGCAGCAGTAGACTCGCGCTCAGTGGGTGTGGAGTCAGCGGGCAGAACAGCAGGGGGGTCTGGGCAGGGGAGCGTACCGTCAAGGTGTGCGGACAGCGATTCACCATCCTGCCGCTGGCCAGTGAGTTGGCGCCGGAGGTCGGCAAGCCACGCCTCGAACTCCAGAGGCTGGCCTTCAGCGTCGAACCGAAGCTCCGCCGCCATCAGGGGCAGTGCAGGGCGAGACAGTACGGTGCAGTGAAGTGCAGTGCAAAGCAGGGCAGTGCAGGGCGGTGCAGTGCGGTGCAGGGCAGTGCAGTGCGGTGCGGGGCGGTGCAGTGCTGTGCAGGGCAGTGCAGTGCGGTGCAGGGCAGTGCAGGGAGGGGGGAACCGTACCAGTGAGGATGAAGGGGCCGGGGCAGGGATGAGCAGCGGGGCCGGGCAGGTGCGGCGGGGTCTGGCAGGCGTGGCGGGGCCGGGCAGGGCGCAACGGGGCCGGGCGGGTGCGACGGGGCTGGGCGGGTGCGACGGGGCCGGGCTGGTGCGACGGGGCCGGGCGGGCGCGACGGGGCCGGGCAGGGCACAACGGGGCCGAGCGGGTGCGATGGGGCTGGGCGGGTGCGACGGGGCCGGGTGGGCGCGACGGGGCCGGGCGGGTTCGACGGGGCCGGGCGGGTGTGACGGGGCCGGGCAGGGGGAGACGGGGCCTAAAGGCTGGACGGGGCCCAGGAGGGGCACTACGGGGCCCAGGAGGGGCGCAACGGGGCCGGGCGGGCGCGACGGGGCCTGAAGGCTTGACGGGGCCGGGCGGGCGCAACGGGGCCGGGCGGGCGCAACGGGGTCGGGCGGGCGCGACGGGGCCGGGCGAGTGTAACGGGGCCGGGCGGGTGCGACGGGGCCGGGCGGGTGCGACGGGGCCGGGCAGGGGGCGACGGGGCCGGGCAGGGCGCGACGGGGCCTGAAGGCTTGACGGGGCCCAGGAGGGGCGCGACGGGGCCCAGGAGGGGCGCTACAGGGCGAGGGGCGCAGCAAGGCCCGGGAGGGTTGCAACGGGGCTAGGGGGTCGCGACGGGGCCCAGGAGGGGCGCGGCAGGGCTAGGGGCACGACGGGGCCCAGGGGGTCGCTACTGGGCTGGGGGGTCGCGACGGGGCCCAGGAGGGACTCGGCAGGGCTAGGGGCACGACGGGCCCAGGGGGTCGCGACGGGGCTAGGGGTCGCGACGGGGCCCAGGGGGTCGCGACGGGGCTAGGGGGTCGCGACGGGGCTAGGGGGTCGCAACGGGGCCCAGGAGGGGCGCGGCAGGGCTAGGGGCACGACGGGGCCCAGGGGGTCGCGACGTGGCTAAGGGGGTCGCAACGGGGCTAGGGGGTCGCAACGGGGCCCAGGAGGGGCGCGGCAGGGCTAGGGGCACGGCGGGGCCTAGCTAGGGGACGAGCGGAAGTGGTAGGTGGGGGGATCCTAACCTACGCGTGATACCATATCAGACTGAGAGAAGTGAATGATGACTAGTCGGAGAGTACAGATAGATATACCACCTAAGTATTGTACCCTCTAAGAGGTGACCCTATACAGTCTATGCAAACATAACAAATACACATGTTTGACAGTAAGAGCTTGTCGGACGGTTTTCGGTTCAGGTATTTTACTGTCGTTGCACTGTACTGCTACTGCAAATCCCAGTATCTGCAATCCTGTTTCTGTAAAACGCGGACATTCTTCGTTTGCACCTGCGAAATTTTCTTCTGCTCCTTCCCCTCCAATTTCGTCAGGTGTAACACGAACTGCTTCGTCAGAGACGACGGGCATCGGCTGTTGCTGGCGGTCGCGTTCGTAACTGAGACGAACTTCGCGAACATCATCCTGGTCAGCATAACCTGAGTACGTGAAATTGTGAGTAATCAAAAGTTAATAATGAAAAAGACCTAACAGAGATTTATAGTTCTACGAAAAGTACCTATTCGCTAATGTACCTGTTCGTCACGTCACTATCGCGCTATGCGCCCTAGATGATAATGAAGGGGTGCGTGCGACTGTTCGCGTGACTGAAACGACTGTCCTATGACGAGCGCTATTTGCTAACGTCATCCTACGGACTTATCTTCTACAGTATGATTCGACACTAGCTACACATAATCGACTTACAGAAATGCTAAGTATCAATTATATCACAACACTCTGAACATTCAAACACGGTACCATTCTCGCCTCAGTAGACCACCACCTCCACCATCATCATTGGCAGAATTCTTACAAACTGAGTGCACCTAAAAACGGCTCATGTATCCCTTGCAAACACCCGATCTAACAGGTACGGTGTGCACACGTACATCCACCCCTACTGTGCAGCCTTCCCCTTGCGATCAAGCCCACTCGCCTGCCTCCCCGCGGCATGTGCCTTGGCTCCAATTTGCAGCAGGAAACAAAGGCACGAATCCAGGTCCTCTCCAAACAAGCTCACCGCCTGTGCCACGGCTGTCTCAAAGAACCCCATGGACAGCAGAATGCTGGCACATGTTGGATGACCTGGCACATCTAACGACGATGTGTTACACTCTTGCTGGTGACAGTCACTGCTGTTGCTGCTGCTACTGGTGCCGAGTTCTGCCTTGTCCAAACTCCTGCTACCGATCTCGCCACTGCCGGCACTGCTGCCACTGCCGGCGCTGCCGGCACCGCTGCCACCACTGCCACCACTGCCCACGCCATTGCTGGGCTTGCTGCTGCTACAGCCGCTGCTGAAATCAGTGCAGACGCCCCAACCAGTGGCAGCAGCACCTGCACCTGCAGCAGCGCTAGTGCCTGTGGATGGTTGCTTATAAGTACAGAGGGCAGGCGTTGCTGGGGTGACTGGTCTGCCGCTGCTGCTGGTACTGGCACTGGCATTGGTGGTAGGTGAAGCGGTGTGGGGAGGATGGGTTGGAGGAAGCTTGGATGGGGGAGAGGGAGAGCAAGAGCGAAAAGAGGGGTTGGAAGCTCCTGCTGCTCCTGCTGCTCCATTCCGATCTGCAGCACAATGCGGAACAGTGGAAAGGGGCGAAGGAAGAACAACATAAAAGAACGGAAGTGCAGCATCGACAAGTATGCCTGAAAAGGGAGGGAATTATGGAAAGAAGAGTGCTGGGACGGTGAATGTGGCTCGTAAGCCAATAGCGGCAAGGGCGCAACTCCAAGTGGACTCAAACCTCATGGCAACTACATTGCCGAAGAGGATGCACTTACGGCGTGCTGGCGGTGGCCGCTGTAACGACGGCGCCGATGATGACGATGTTGATGGAGAAGCGGGGTCAGAGGTGGACGGGGGGGGTGATAGCCAGGGAGAAGGAGAGTGAGCGGAGGGGGAAGCTGGGAAAGAACCGGAGAAATGGCACCCCTGTGCACCATAGCCAAATCCGTGACCATGGCCATGTGCAGTCCAAGGCTGGGCCGGGTGAGCAGGTTGGGCAGAGTGAGCAGGTTGGGCAGGGTGAGCAGGTTGGGCAGGGTGAGCAGGCTGGGCAACGGGGCGAACGTAACCTGGTGACTGTACAAGACTGTTCCTCTGCTGCTGCTGCTGCTGCATCTGCTGCTGCACGTACTCCCTATAGCTGGCCTCGATAACAGCGCGCTCCAGAGCCTCCTCGGTGAGCTGGCGGTCGGAGCACGCCTGCGCCTGGGACAGCAGCGCCTGCTCTACCACCGCGTCCTGCTGCGCCTGCACTGCCTGCTTCACTGCGGACGGGGGCAGCTGCCCGCCCTGGTGTGTTCGGGATGGATATATGGGATTCTATTTTAGGGAGTATATTTCAGGCACCTCAAAAGGCGGTCGGAGCAACGCCTGTGCTGTGCCTGGCACAGCAGCGCCTGCATGCATGGCCGGTGTCACTGTGGACGGGGGGAGATGCCCGCCCTGGTGGGGTGAGGTGGGGTGGGGTGTGTGTGTGGATAGACATGGCATGGGATGTTATGGAGTGGTTTTTGAGTCGACTCAAAAGCAGACATGGCATGGGATGTTATGGAATGGACGGGAATTGTAGACTGCTTTTGAGTCGACTCAAAAGTGGATGAGATGACACTGATGACATGACACTGATGACATGACACTGATGAGATGACCCTGTTTTTCCGCTCACTCCCTGATTTTTCTGAACTAACTTCCCCTCACCTCCCTCACTCACTCCCCCCCTCACCTCACATGCACACGCACGCATCCCCCCACCTCCCCCCCTCACACACACACACACATACGCCCCTTCCCTCTCCCCCCCCCCCCCCCTCTTCCACACACACGCCACACCTGCAGCGTACTCAAGCCAAGCCCCACGCCGGTGTTGGGCTGCGACGGGTCGACGAGCGAGTTGTAGTGGCGGCGCCGGTGGTACGACAGGCGGATAGGCGGCAGGGACGAGTCATAGGCGGACTGGAAAATGTTGATGGGCTCTGGTGGACGGGTGGAGGGTAGTGACGCGGGGTGAGTGGGGTGGAGTTGGGAGGGAGAAGAGGAAAAATGGAGGGCGGGAAGAGAAGAGGGCTCTCAGTGACTTTTGAGGCGCCTCAAAAATGGAGGGCGGGACAAGAAGAGTGTTCGCAACGAAGGTGGGGCTGGGGACCGGGGAAGGGGAAGGAGGGGGAAAGGAACGTGGGTGGGAATAGGAAAGGCGAAAAACACGGGCTTTAAGGTTATGTGAAGGTGTCTACACGTGGGTTGGAAAACGCTGATTAAATTAAATGTGCTGAGTAACGTGGGTGCAACACAGCAGTGGAACAGATCGAGATGGGCAGGGGGCAATGGGCAGGGGCGACGGAAGGACGGGGGGGGTGGGGGGAGTGGTAATGAAGTGCACACACACACACACACACACACACACACACACAGAGACACATACATGCACCCATCTCTGCACCCCACACACACCCATCTGTGGCCCACTCACACACCTGTGGAGTAGCAGAAGATGTGGATGGGGCGGTTGAAGAGCTCTGCCAGTGCTTGCAGCTCTAGGTTGTTGCCGTGCACCTGGGGGGGGAGAGGTGGTGGTAGGGGGGCCATGGATAAATGAATAATGCAGCGCAAGGGAGCAGCACATGAGGTGAGGAGAAGAAATTGGGGAGGTGTAACCCTATGTGCGCGTTGCTCTTCCACAACGGCTCTGCTGCGGTTCGAATCCGTCGAATTCCGTGCACGTTGCTCTTCCATATCACAGTGATCTGCAAAGACACTACTGCCTTCATCATTTTCAGCACTTTCAACACTTTCAACACTTTCAACACTTTCAACTCTTTCAACTCTTCCAACTCTTTCAGCACTTTCAACTCTTTCAGCACTTTCAACACTTTCAACACTTTCAACTCTTTCAACACTTTCAACACTTTCAACACTTTCAACTCTTTCAACACTTTCAACACTTTCAACACTTTCAACTCTTTCAACTCTTTCAACTCTTTCAACACTTTCAACACTTTCAACACTTTCAACTCTTTCAACACTTTCAACACTTTCAACACTTCAACACTTTCAACACTTTCAACACTTTCAACTCTTTCAACTCTTTCAACGCTTTCAACACTTTCAACACTTTCAACTCTTTCAACACTTTCATCACTTTCAACACTTTCAACACTTTCAACACTTTCAACTCTTTCAACACTTTCAACTCTTTCAACACTTTCAACACTTTCAACACTTTCAACACTTTCAACACTTTCAACTCTTTCAACACTTTCAACACTTTCAACAGATGAATGGAAACCCCTGCTGCCAACCGTCTACGCTTCCCGTCCCTCCTTAATGTTGCTGTTCTCTTCTCTCGTTTTCCCCTCCCGGAAGCTTCTCAAGCCTTCCCTCAAGCCTACCCTCAAGCCTACCCTCAAGCCTACCCTCAAGCCTACCCTCAAGCCTACCCTAAACGTACCACTTACCCTTGCGAACAATAAAAACGTTACCCACTCCCTTCTCCCAACTTAACGTACCTCCCACCCAACATCCACCCACATCTCCCCCCCACCCCCCCCCTGTTCCCCCACCTTGTCACGCCTCTTTCGCTTGCAGTAGGCAGCGAAGCTCTCTGTCACGAACTGGCTGAAGTGGTCACGCTCCTTCTCCTGGAGGGCGCGGATTAGGGATGAGGGGTGCAGTGAGGGGTGCAGTGAGGGGTGCAGTGAGGGTTGCATTCCGGAGTTAGCAGAAGGTTTGGCAAGCACCAAAGCCAGCAAAGAAATCACCATGTAGTTGAGGAACAGGTGCCTGAGGTCCCTGTGAAAGGCCGCGTCCCCCAGCACCTGGTGGGATGGGATGGGAACCCCACAGCCCCCCCTCCCCCTACCTACCCTCAAGCCCCACCTCATTCCCCCCCACTTCCCCCCGCCCCCCACCCACTCTCCTCGTACCATGTAGTCGAGGCACAGGTGCCTGAGGTCGCGGTGGAAGGCAGCGTCACCTAGCACCTGGTGCGCGACGGCGCGGAAGAGGCAGTTGCCGTCCGGCGCCATGCGGTGCACGTGCAGGTGGCGCTCGCTCCACACCCGCGCCTCAAACGTGCGCTCCAACTCCTCCTCATCCCCCTGCTGCTGCTGCTGCTGCTGCTGCTGCTGCTGCTGCTGCTGCTGCTGCTGCGGGTGCGAGTGCGGGTGCGGGTGCGGGTGCGGGAGCAACTGGTGTGGTGTCGAGCCAGGAATGGGAGAATGGAGGAGACAAACGGGTTGGGATGTCAGACAGGAGAAGAGGAGAGGAGTGGAGAGAAGGAAGGAGTGACGAGAAGAGGAAAGAGGCAAAGAGGCAAAGAGGCAAAGAGGCAAAGAGGCAAAGAGGCGAAGAGGCAAAGAGGCAAAGAGGCGAAGAGGCAAAGAGGCAAAGAGGCGAAGAGGCAAAGATGCAAAGAGGTCTAAGACACAAGAAACCAGGAAAGAGGAAAGGAGGAGAAAGAGGGGGGGCCATGAGTACACCCAATTTGTGCTTTAGCTGCTCCAGTTGTTAGCACAAACAAAAGAAAAGCAAAGAAAACCAACAGCGTGGCAGGAAACGCACCTGCACTGCTCCTGGAAATGCAACAGGGCAATATTCGTCTGCACTGTTGTATCCCCTCTCCTCGCTGCCGTCCGACCGTGGACTGCTGGGAGAAGTGACACGCGGAGGGGATGGGGGTGATACGGCCGCTTCTGCTGCCGCCGCTGCTGCTGCTGGTGCTGCTGGTGCTGCTGGTGCTGCTGCCATGTCTGCTGTTGCACTGCCACCCACAACCTCGGTTGCCGTGGCAGTGCTATCACCGGACGAGCCAGCTGCTGGCGGGGCCATGGCTAAACAGGTGAGAACAGGAGGCAGAGGCAGCACAGGCAGTTCACAGACCACTGGGGACACAGACAGGGGGGGGGCTTCCCTGACAGCCATGTCCTGGGACGATTGCAATTGTAATTGCGGTTGTAATTGCGGTTGTAATTGCGGTTGCAATTGCGCAGTCTGCAGCATATCAGGAAGACACGGGAGACGTGGGGGCTTGTTCTCTCCATCCCTGCCGCAGTCCTGCAGCAGCAACGGGCCGGATTCAGGAGCGCGTATGGAATCGTGAGAGATTGGAGCAGGACAGGCGTGAGCGAGCACAGATGACTCGACGGTCGGTTGAGGCGTGACCTCCCCACATGCGCGACCGTGCCTCAGCGCAGGCCTCCCTGCACCGTCAGAGCACATGGAGAGAAGGGAAGCAGGTGAGTCACTGCGGCCTTGAGCTTCGGGCCTCCCTGATTCCTCAACCAACACGCCTCCAACGCTTGCCCCTGCTTCTTTAGAACCTCCCCTGTTGCTGCTGCTGCTGCTGCTGCTGCTGGCGTGCGTGCTCACGGGTGGCTGCAGCGCAGACACCAGTTCCAACATGCGGCTGTACGCTGCCGCCACGTCAGGGTCTTCTGTTACGCACGAATCTCCCTCCTCCACGTCAGCATCTGCAGCCGCCACGTCATTTGCAACCCCGACAACAACCTCCACCTCCTCCGCCTCCCGTACATCTGCACCCTCACTTCCGCCAGCCAATGCGCTCCCCTTCTCTCCTTCCTCTCGCCCTTCCTCTCCCTCCTGTCTCCCCTCCTTTCCCCATACCCCACCTCCCCCCTTATCCTCACCCCTGCTCTCCTTCGTTGCGCAGACCCCTGTTACCTCCACCTCCTCTACTCCTCCTTCCCGCATCTGCCTCTCCCCCCTCTCCTCACCACTCCCCCCCCCTCGCTCCAACGCACCACCCAGTGCCACTTGCAACCGCCGCGACTGTGGCGCTGCAGCCTCCCCTCTCTTCCCGTCCCCTCCCACAACCCCTTCTCTCCCACCCTCCCTCGTACGGCTCCCCGCTTGCACCACTACTCCCACCTCCAGCGTCCCTACCCCCTTCCGCTCCCTCCCCTCTACGCTCGTGTTTTTAGGCGTCTCAAAACTCGGCTCCTGCGCGCCTGCTTCCTTCCGCGCTCTCCCCTGCGCGCTCGTTTCCCCCTGGTATTCTGCGCCTGTAACACGTTCTGCCCTTTCGCCCGCGCGCACGCCACTTGTCGATTCTGCTCCGCCCCTTCCGCCCTCCGTCGTTCTCCCTTGCCCTCCCTCTGCGTTGTGCGTTTCCCCCCTCGGACCGGCAAAGGCAGGTTGCACCCGCGACTGAGACGCGACGTGCGACTGCATCTGCGACTGCGCCTGCGACTGTGGCCGCGACTGCGACGAGCTGGCGACCGGACCTCCTCCTCGCGCTGCTGGCGTGCGACTGCTTAAATCGCACGAGTCTCGCGTCGCCGGATTGGTCGCTGGCCCGCTTGCGACGGGGAAAACAGTGTCGCCAGTCGCCGATGACGGCTCAAGGGGAGTCGACGCTGTTTGCGACAGGCCTCCAGGGACCCCAGCCCCTCTGGCGACGCCCGTACCAACAGCGCCAGCAGCGATCCCCGCAGCACCGCCGGTAACGGCGGCGGCAGCAGCGGCGGCAGAGGCGGCGGACGCAGGCGGTGGTCGGCCATAAGGATTCCGAGGCCTGACTATCCGCGTCATGCGGGGCAAGCGGACGGGTGAGGCCGAAGGTAAGGAGGACGAGGGAGCACTTAAACACGTTCCCCTGAATTTCGCGTCGCGCGGCAAGGAAGGAAGCAGGTAACACGCGACAATTTAGTCAAGGTACAACTACTCTGTATGTATGTACAGGACGGTGGTTTTCAGTGAAAATGTCTCTTGCTGCTGATGCCATGCCTCGATTCTGGACTTCGAGCCTTCCCCCCACAATATCGCACTGCAGCCCACTCAACCCTGGTGTAACACCTGAGAAAGTCCGAACAGCACATGCACGCAACTTGGGAGGAGGGGAGAGAGGAGAACCACTCACATCCAACGCATGCATTTGAAAAGCATTTCATTGGTTCACATTCACCCGCCCACTTAGTCGTTCAATGAGTTCTACACGCCTCGCTATTAAATAAATTCGACACAAACTAAACATTCCAGTTTCCTTAAAACCACAGGCTAGAATAGCACACCTGAGGAGCTCTTGAAAAAATGTTTCGTTTAGGGGCAGACCCTTTGGTGCGTTTTCTATTTCCGAAATGGGATGGGACCCGAAATTGTCTGTAATGCGAAGTAGCTTTGCTACGTTATTGGTGCGCTACGATTGATTTGGCGTCAGATGCTCGGCGGATGAAGTTGCGACTGACCGCTCACACAGCTCAGTTTTTTCAAGAGCTCCATGGGTGTGCAATAGGTTTTTAACCCGAGGTTCAACAAGGTCGCATTTCGCGCAACCCATATGGCTGTTCGGCTCACAAGTTGCACAGTTCACCTTTGCCCTAGTCGCAAGTCGCGGTCGAGGGTACCTCGTAATGTGAAGCCTGAACACGTACGCCGAATACTTCCGAGGTACAGTATGTTTTTTTCGTTTCACCAAGCTGGCGAAAAGTCAAATGAGTCGCGCACGCGTTTCCCGCCTCGTCGCACACGCGTCAAATCGGCACCACTGCGTTTGTATCATTGTTCAGCTGCCCAAAAACGCACCTCGCAAAATCGTACTGGGAACCCGTTTTTTTTCAAAAGAACCATCTTCAAGAACGGCGCTCTTGAAGCCCCCCCTATGCTATTTTAGCCTGTGGTTTTAAGGGAAGCCATACAATACCCTACTGATGTGTCACGTGAAGGAGAAAATCATTAGTAAACGACAAACACGACAGAATAAATTTGAAACGGCATTTCGTCCACACGACCCTACCACAGCACAGGCAAAAAACATTTACCCAGCATCCAGCAGCCCTCTCACCGTGAGCCTAGCAATAGGTTTTATTTTCCTGTCCCAAACCACCACCAACTACCATGCCTCCAGTCCAGCCCACAACACACTCAGCCTGTACCCAGTCCCCCCCCCATCCCCCACCTCCCCTCCCTCCCTCCCTCCCTCCCTCCACCCCCTCCACACCGCCAAGTACATGCCTGGTGGTCCAGTCTTGCAAGTGTGTCTAACCCATCCCACCCACCACACCACCATCACATCCCTCTCCCTTGTCTCTGTCTGACCCCTCTACCCCTCTACCCCAAGTTCCCAACCCTCCCATCCTCAGTTCGCTGGCGGCGTTGCAAACGCCACGCGGCGCACCGACACATCCGCACCAGCCATACCCCCTTCCCCACCCCCTTCCCCTCCCCCTCCCGCACTCTCCTTCTCCTTCTTCCTCCCCCCCTTTGACGCCTTCTTCCCGCCCTTCCCGCTCCTCCCACTCCTCCCCCTTCCCCCCCCCTCCACATCCTCCCCATGGACATTCCCCACCGCCGTCCGCACTGTCTCCCGTCCAAAAGCCTCCATATCCACCACCATGGGCGCCGGCTCATAGTGCCTCAGCCACGTGTCCTGGCTCGCACGGATCGCGAGCACGTAGTAAACCACCATGAGGACGGCGGAGAAGGCAGCGAGCACGGCCGCGGATATGAAGATGGCCTGGTTGACGGTGCTGCAGTACATGATGGTCGAGATGTCCGTGGAGTAGGGCACGGAGGAGATGTGCAGGGAGTTCTCAATGGCTGCTGCCGTCAGCAGGGCTATGGCTGCCAGGAAGAAGAGGCTGCAGAGGAACGGGGAGAGAGGGGGGGAGAGGGGCAGGGGGGAGATGGGGGACAGCAGGGAGGATGGGATGATGTGGAAGGGGGGGGAGGGGAGGGGATGGATGGGATAGAGAGGGGGAAGGGGAGGTGATGAGGCAGGCAGGAGCTATGGATGGATCTATGCTGCAATGTGGGCTGATGAGTGACAAGCGATGCACGGAAGGCGAGTGAGAAGGGGTTGGAACAAGGGCGGAGCAAAGGAGAAGAAAAACGAGGAGGGGGGGGGGAGGTGGGGGGAGAGAGAGGATGGGGAGGATGGGTAGGGTGCTCCTTTGTGCACATGTGACAAGAGCATGTGGTGGAGACTGAGTGTGCATGAAAGGAAGGGAGAAACGAATGCGTCTGTATCTGAGTGTGTGCACATGCGCATGCATGCTTGCACAGGCATAAAGAAGCCACGGCTACCCAAGCATGTATGCACGTAGGTCTGTGATTGTTTGCTTACACCCAACCCAACCTCACCCAAACCATCCCCCAAACCATCCATTACAGCCCTTCCTCCTAGCATCCCCCCTAGCAGCACCCCTCCCCCTCCCCCCCGCCACCCCATGCGATGCGACTGACATGTCGAGTAGCAGCACCGCGAGCAGCACGTGCGTGCTCTGCCCCACCGTTGGCTGCAGCTCCCCGCGCCCCACATGCCGCGTGAACAGCGGCCGCGCCCACGTGAACCCGCCCGTCAGCACAGTGAAGGCCTGCAGGAGGGGGGGAGGGACGGGGGCAGGGATGGGGGAAGGGATGGGGGAAGGAACGGGGGAAGGGATGGGGGGGCGAAAGGAAGGGGGGGAAAGTGGGGGTGGAGAAAGGCGAGTGGGGAAACGGACGAGAAGATGAAGGATACTTGAGAACGGTTAGGGTTGGGGGAGAAGGGATGAGGGGAGACGCCTGAAGAGGGTGCAGCTAGCGACTTGTGAAAGGGCAGGAAGAAAACAGGGATGTGGAAGGGTGGTGCAGTGCAGGTGGTGGTACAAGTGTGCTGTGTGCTAGTCCGTGAAGGATCGCAGCATCGCAGCACTACTACAGCGTTCTGCCTGGCTCGCTGGCTGGCTGGCTGGGTTGGTTGGTCGCAGGTGTCTCGCGCGCCGTGAGTGAAGGCTGCAGCACAGCAATGCTGCAGTGCACCGCACCACACTGCATGGGAAAATAACACCCTCTGCTACCGCTATCCTGCGGCCTGCCACGCAACACAAACTTCTTTCTCCTCCAATTCTTCTTCATCTTCCTCTTTCCGTTTCGTCTTTCAGCAAGAGTCCGTGCGTGCGTGCGTGGCGTGGCGTGGCAGGCAAGGGGGGCGACTCGCCTCTGTGAAGAGCAGCACGGCGATGGCAGCAACGGCCAGCCAGGTCGCAACCGAGGGAGGGTAGCTGCAGTACAGCGCACCCCAGGGGTTGGTCAGGATCGAGTAGGTCTGCAGCGGGGGGGGGGGAGGGAGGGGAGGGGAGGGGAGGGGAGGGGAGGGGAGGGAAGGGAAGGGGAAGGGAGGGGGGAGGATTGGAAGTGTGGAAATGGTGGGAAGCAGAGGAGAATGAGAATGTATACGGTGAGAGAACCGGGAGAAGAGTAAATGAAGGGAGAAGGTGGAGCGTAGGATCCGGATAGGGAGTAGGACGAACAGGGCACGAGCGGAGGCTAGATGCTGGTGTGAGCGCTCTACGGTGGACGGGGGGCGAGGAGGAAACGGGGAGGATGAGTGTCGGGGAGAAAGCAAGGGCAGGAGGATGGTGCGACGCAGTGCGGGGGCCGGGGGGAAGGAGGGGCGCGGAGAGGGGTGGGGGGGGGGGGGGGGGGGTGGAGGGGGAAGAGTGGGGGGAGGAGGGTGAGTGGCGGGAGGCGGTTTGGAGGGGAGGAAATGGGGGAGATCTGCACTGCAAACAGTGGCGGCTCGTAGCGATGCTGTAGCTAGCTGTGGGAGAGGCGAGAACGGCAATTCCCGCCCAACTGCAAATCGGCCTTGGCTTTGCCGGGGTCTTCTCCATGGGCGACGGAGACAGAAAGGTCGGGATATAAAACTAGTCTACCATCTACCGTCTACCGTCTACCATTCACCGTCTACCGTCTACGAAATAGTCGCCAACGCAAATCCCGCCTATCTGAGCCTCGTTCACCCTCCCTGGTCGCCAATGCAACCGCGCGCGTACCGATATCCGCGTGAACTGCGCCGCGAGGCTGAGCGCGAACGCCGTGAGGCCGCCGAGGGTGATAATAGCGAGGGCGATGCGGTGCATGTGCGGCTGCGAGGCGAGCGACACGTCGTCCATAACCACCGCTGCCGGCTCCTTGGAAATGCCGCCACCTCCGCCACCGTTGCTGACGTCCATGGGCGCCTCGCTACGCGACACGCTGTGCCTTATTTGGTCCTTACGCAGCAGTGATGGTTAGGACTGTTGCTGGGAGTGATAAGCTGGTGGTGACTTGGGTTGGGTGTGAGGTGCAATGGAGGTTGTGTTGATTCGCGAAGAATGGACTGTAAGAGAGTTACGGCTCCGCATAGGTCTTCGCCAACACCTGAAACAGATTGGACTAACCTTTCATTTTCTAAATTGGGATGGGAGGTATTTTGAAATGGTATTTCACGCTAACAGGGTCCTCGACATCAGACAAAATCCGACTGTTTGTCTGATTTTCAGAATTTTTTTAGGCGTTCATCTGTTTTTTTAGAAACCCAATTATTGATTTTCTGATGCCCTAGAAAGTGATTTTGTACCCTTATGATATTTCAAAATGGGTGTACGCATCCTTCTGGAATTACATACTTCACGACATTTCTCATCTGAAACGGATCTCTGTAGGTTGCATTGGTCCTTCGACAAAATCACCATCCGATACCTGCTTGAGGTTGTGTGAGTGGCGCCAACAGGGACTTCACCAAATTTTTCGCCTCATGTAGAAAATTTGTCTAAGGACCAAGTAGCGCCATCACAACCCGATGCGTGGTGCAGTCTGTGTGAGGGTGTTAGTCGACCCTTGGCTAATTCGTGTGGGGGAGGGGGATCGCCTCGCTTGAGGGGGGCTGGCTCTGGCTGACCTCGCCAACCAATGTGCGTGAACGCAACTTGCGAGGGCCTTACCTCCCACCCGCCCCCTTCAATTTCAATTCCCCCCCCACCCCGGACAGGGTTCTCGCTAGGGCCCTCCCTTTTTCCCGCTCCCGCAGGCCTGATTCATCGCGTTGGCAGTCATCCAGGGCTCAAAATTGATTTAGGGGGACCCTTGGTAATCAGGGTACCTAAAAAAAATTGCCCTGCCTCCTAGGGTGGGAATTTCGGCACCCTTTGAAAATCAGGGTAAATTTGTAAAAAAAAACCGAGTACACTGTTTGGCCAGGGAAAAAAAATGAACACCCTTTCATGTGCTTACAACAGTCGATCATACTTTGGAGTGCTTTAAATCTCGCATACATACAAGCACGTTGTCTCTAGCATTATCAATGCATAGTTAGACAACCTACTACTACTACTACTACTACTACTACTACTACTACTACTACTACTACTACTACTACTACTACTACTACTACTACTACTACTACTACTACTACTACTACTACTACTACTACTACTACTACTACTACTACTACTACTACTACTACTACTACTACTACTACTACTACTACTACTACTACTACTACTACTACTACTACTACTATTACTACTACTACTACTACTACTACTACTACTACTACTACTACTACTATTACTACTACTACTACTGCATGTTCTGTGAGTCTCACAGCAGTCACTAATACTCCTGCTACTAATAGCTCACTCTGCAGACCCACTATTCCCCCCGCCGACTAAGCTGGGTGCAGCAGAGGGTGTTGCGTTCTCTGGCTCAGCAAACTGCGCCGAACTGGGGATGGCGCCAGTGAAGTCTCGGATACTGCGGCGGGGCTTTTCTCCACGAAAGATGGCCACCACGTCGAACCAGTCCACGTCATAGTCCAGCAGGGAGCACCGCATGAGATGGCCGAGGGTGATGTCGCCCATGCTACCCCGCGCCCATGTCTTTATCAGGTTCTGCTTGGAGAAACCGCGCTCGCACTCGACAGTGCTCAGCGGGAGAACGACGACAGCTTGCCACATGAGCATGATGTTGGGGTAGCTGAGTTGCCAGTTGCTGTCACGCAGCGTGTTGCTCAGCGCTTGGAAGAAGTCCTCATGATGATGCTAGGAGTGCATGGTGGATGTGAACATCCATAGCTCCGTGACTGCATTGTTGTACTTGAATCCTGCAAGGGGGTTCGGGGCGGTGAGGGAGGAATGGTTCAGTGTTGAGACTTGAGAGGCAGCGATTCTGTTCGCATAGCATAGCATACCATGACTCCATGGTTGAGAAGTAGGCGCTCTAGATAACCTGGGAGCTTGTGCCGAAACAGGCCGTCCAGCTGCTTCAGCCACTTCTTGAAGGCCGCCACGCGCAGGATGTCGTCATCCAGGTAGATCTTGTCCAGGAACAACTTAGTCCCCTCCAGGTTACGCAGATCGTTCACGCGGCGGTCGAGGAACATGTTGACGGAGCAAGCATACTTGACGCAGAGCTCGAAGCAGGCTGTCGCGCCGCCATCAGAATCTTGGCCCGGCAGCGGTCGCTCGTGGAGTTCGAAGGAGAATGACAGCGGGTTTCCGTCACCGTTGACGCCCTCTGCCATCATCACCCGCTATTCCTTAGCCGCATGCGCCGCGATGAACTCCGGCACATGGAGCTTCTCCCCATGGCCGAAGACATGCCCAGGCCCAGAGTTAAGATAGCGCGCCGAGATCCGCATCTTGGTTTGCTCAATCATGTGTGCCACGAGTGTCACGTCAACCTGTAGGGGCGAGCACAACACACGCACCACGCATCAGTGCTATGCTTTGCGCTGGAAACCACATGGACCGGTCGGCAAACATGGGTTGTGAGAGTCAGACACGCGTAGCGATATAATGAACACATCAGACACGGTGATGCATACCTGGCGCTGCTGAAACCGTTGGCTGAGGATGTTCAGCTCCGTCAGAATGTCGGCGAGGAAGCGCAGGAGAAAATGAAACTTGAACGAAGTAACGACTTCATACAAGTCACTCCCGTGCTCGCGTAGCAGCAAGATGGCGGCTGGGAGCACGTCCACGAGGTGGTTCACCGCCTCGCCCCTGGAGAGCCAGCGGATGACATGGATTCCCTGGTGTTCCAGGGTCGTCTGACAGAAGATCAGCTGCAGCGCCATGAAGCGGGTGTAGCGCACGTGACTGCGTCCAAGGATGTCGGCCAGTGTCCGTATGATAAAGTCAATGATGCTTAGCTCGGGCACGGTTGCAGCCGCGTCCTTAGCCGCTAGCGCCTCCCTGAAGGCGGGGTGGGAGGATAGGGGAAGAGTAGTAGAAAGGCTGATGTTACTTCCAGGAATATAAGGCACGACCATGCATATCATCCGAACGTTTATACGTCCGTCGAACCGCAACAAACCGATGGGCAATGCAGTGAATCGAGACGAGGTGCTCGATTTGTGCGCGCAGACGGGTCACTACTCCGCTCCGCTCGCCGGTCATTACGGAAGCTCCATCAGTCGCGATGCCCAAGATCTTTTGCAAGTCTAGCCCAATTCCCTGGATGTAGTGCAAGAGGGAGGAAGTCAGAGATGCCGCGTCAGTCCGCTTGACACTCAGAAGCGTGACAAACTCGGTCGCCACGGTGTTGCCCTTGAAAAATGTCGCGTAGAGTACGAGATGTTTCCCGTGGATGCGATCCGTGCTCTCGTCGATGCTGATGCCGACGTAGGGAGAGGCGCAAAGGTGTTTCAGCTCTTCCTCCTGCAGATACTCCAACATGGACCGTATGCTCTCCTTGAAACCGTAACTGCATGACACGGAAACAAGGAGAGACGGACGGCGGGGCACTTGTACCATACAAGAAGGCCACAATTTATGCACGTGGGGAGGGAGGACGAGCAGTGAGCATCAAATGGCAAAGCGCACAACACAAGAATTACTGTCGAGGTTTTAACATACTCTGTGTAGTAGGCGCCGTACCCACCACCTGGCGGCAGATCGGGGTGGCCTTCCTTCGCGAGGAACCAGCACAGGGGGATGAACATCGCGATGGGCGCATCATGCCTGCAAATGAACAACGGGATGTGCAGCATGCGGATAAGATGCCGCGCCTGGTGATCCGTCCGCTGCCAGCGGGTCAGCGTCACTTGTCACGCGCGCTCTTTCTCAACATCCTTCTCCGCCTTGATCGCCGATTTGTGCGCACGGGTGCCGATGTGAGAGCGGATGCTGCCGAGCTGCAAATCACGCCCGCCCTCACCCTTGATGCCATACGACGTGTTCGCACATGGGTCGGCGAGTTTGAGGCACGTGGCGCACTTGAGAGCAGGTCGTTTGTTCTTCATTCGATGTAGCCGCAGCCAGGAGAACCGTTTCGACAAGTCGTTGTTGAAACGGTTCTTTATTACTGCGTACTCGGCCTCAGCAGCGGTCGTCGGTAGAGCTTCGGCAGCAGGCCTGGCAGGGCAAGAAGGGCGTGCGGGAGGCGGGCTTGCTGGGCTGCGAGGCGGAGGCGCACCCCAGAGGGTCGACTGCGTCCATGCGGACCGTCGCGGCCTTTTGGCGATCTCGGAGGTAGGGGAGGGTGGGGTTGTCATGGAGGGATGGTCGGACTCATCTGCATCGGCAGACACTGAAACGTCGATGGGCTCGATGCCCCGTGGAGATGGAGAAAGGGATCTAGGAATCTATGGTAGGGCGGGCTGAGAAATTTGCAGAGAGCACGGGGGAGATTTACACTGGCTGAACGAGGGCGCGACTGCTGGTCGAGCGAGGTGGAAAATGCCGAGGACGCTAAGGCCATCACAATGACCAACATGGCCATCGTCAGGTTCGTCGTTCTCGGGAACGGCCATGTCTGAGTAGTAGAAGCGATAGAGTAACAGCCCAGCTGTCCTTGAGACCACGCGGGAAAGTGGCCTCGATGCACTGCGCATAGTGCATCCAGCACACCGCTGGCAGCAGTGCTGCCACAGTGCGACGAATTCACTGCCACGCGCGCCGATTCTGGGGGGCTTGACTGCCAGTGGGTGGGCATGGCTGGCGGGGTTTCACGCGTGGCAGATTCGACAACAATCGAATCTGCAGACCTTGTAGGCTTCTGTTTCAGGGTGTTTTTGGCAACACCCTGCCTGGTCAGGGTAGATCACAATTTACTCTAGCTACAGCAGGGTAAAAAAAAAACTTACACTTTTAGAGAAAGTGTCACAAAAAAAATACCCTTTGAAAATCAGGGTGATCCTGAAAAAGCGGCCGCTAGCAAGCAATCAGGGTAAAATACCCTTCAAATTTGAGCCCTGCAGTCATCCCACCAATCAGAACCTCTCGCGACATTGAACCCCCAAACCTTCTTTCGTGCACGCCCAAGCTGCCCAAGGACCTTGGGCACTAGGAAACCTACTCAAATATTGGGACATGGAGGCTAATATGGCCCTTGTAGGTTAGCCTAGAAATTGACATTAGGAATTTCTGAAATTTTAGAAACTGCACTACGATTCGTCTGATTTGTTAGAAACTGAAGATTTTGCCGTCTGATGGCCTAGAAAGTGCCTAGAGCCCAGCGAGAGCCTTGCACGCTAAGCTTAGTATTGTGTATAAAAAACACTTTTCCCTACCACTGAGTTAAAAGGGCTTGTAAAGTAGCCGGTAAGTGTGGCCATGACCCCCTAGGCTCTGCACCTGTAACCCTTCCTCGAGGATCTCAAGGGCAACCCCAGCGTGTCTCTTGACACATCGAGCCACGCTCAGAACTCGCGCGCTATCTAAATTTCTTGGCCATGCCACAAGACGTTACCCATAGTGTTTTTCACATATGCATGTATCTTCCGTTCAAATTGTTATTCGTGTTTTCCATTCCGCTACTACACATCCGATACTAAGCCGTTCGGCTATACCCCAATGCGGATCCTAACACCCGGTATGATAGCCCTCGACCCTGAACCAACCAAACCATTCGCAGCTAAGCCTCGACACTAGCATTCACGCCTTAGAGGGGGGAGGCTAGACAACTCCCTGGAACTATTGGAGCTGTTGTCGATGAGCCATTATGAAGGCTTATGCAAATCAATGCACCGTGACGAGGAGCAACCGACAGCCTCTTGCTGTCTATTGGGGATGCGCAAAGCCACACAAGCACAAGCTGCCATAAGTGTTAATGTTCATATATATGTTAGGAATATATACAGTGACAGAAATCATTGTCCGGATGTAATGCATTAACTAGAGTTTTTTTGCATTCCGACCAGTGTACATAGAGTCTTAATGTTCAATGGTGGTACGCTTTGGGAGTGGCATGTAGTGGATGTGTTCATAGTGCTACAATCTATAATAGTACACTGAATCTAACTTAGTATTAAAATATATCCACAGAGTCCATCTGGACAATTGTTTCCCAGGACAAAGCGCAAACTTCCGAACAGCGTTTCTAGTACCTATTCCACCGACCCTTGGCCTTGATCACCACACGCACCCTCCTAGGCATTGTATCTACGAGGTTAGTGCAAACCTTTGCAGGGATCTTCTCACACTCTTCTTGGACCCACCCTTTTGCATAAAGGGGTGAGCACTAGGAAAATCGCGAAGGATTTGAGCTTATGCAAGAGTATTTTGCACGATTTCTGATTGAATGTGATCTCTTAGACTAGCCACGTTGAGGTGTGTCTTTTCATGAAGAGACGGGACCATTAGCCGTTTGGTCCTGTCTTTTCATGGGTCATGTTCGCCGTACCGTTGTAGGGTAAAATTACGAACAGAGTGGCGAAAACTAACGCATCCGCCTCGAAACTTGGGATAATATAGCACGATTGATTGTGCACCCTTTCACTGTTAGAATCACGTTAAAATCCACGGGTCTCGTCACGGTGCAGCAATCGAAGAAGCCTCGGCTGGTGGGGAAAAATATCTGGGTTGAGGTCTGGTGAGGAAGAGGGTCACTCCAGTGCTACGTACTCATGCTCTCCAAGCCATTCCAAGCCTAGGCGCTTCAAATGGCTTGGAATGGCTTGGAGAGCATGAGTATGTTGCGTTGGAGTGACCCTTTTCCTCACCATCCCTCACCTAAAGCACTCATCTTGAACAGTCGTGACTTCTTCGACTGTTGCACCGTGATGAGACCTGCGGATCCTAGCATGATTCTAAAATTGCAAGGGTGTACAATCGACCGTGCTACATTACCCTCAGTTTCACGGCGTAAACACTAGTTTTCCCCGCTCAGTTCGTGGTTTTACCCTACACCGGTACGACGGAGACGACCCACGAAAAAATGCGACCAATCGGCTAATGGCATCTCCCAAAGCGTGCCACTATTAAACAT